GGCCCGGGCGAGGCGCTGCGCGGCGACGGAGACGGTGCAGCCGCGGCACTGGTAGGTGGGCGTCGGCCCGAGCTTGTAGTCCAGCAGGCCGACGCGGTCGTGCTTCGCGACCTTGGCCGCGGCCGCGACGCGCGCGCAGGCCCCGGGTCCTCCCCAGGTGTGGTAGAGGCTCTCCGGCTCCGCGAAGTGCGCGCCCGTGAAATAGGCGCGGTCCGGGACGGTCGAGCCCCAGGGATCGTGCGGCGCGTAGAAGTCGGCCTCGGCGTAGAACGGGCGGCGCGGGCTCGCGGCCTTGGCCGCTTCGAGCCAGGCCTCGAGCTCTTCGGCGATGGCCTGGGACTCGATGAGGTGCTTCGACACCTGGTTCGGTCGGCAACGTTTGGGCCAGCCCTGGCAGAGGGACAGCCCAAAGTACTTGAGGTCCTGGAAGGGCCGAAAGTGCTCAAAGGCTTCCGCGCCGAGCCGCTCGAAGCCCCGAGCGAACTTGCCGGCCTGGGCCGTCGCGTAGCCGGACTCTCGCAGCGCGCCCACGTACGTTCGGGCGCCCGGCGACACGTATTTGAACCCGCCGGCGCCCGGGCTGCCGGCGAGCGTGCGCACGCCCGACTCGTGCGCGTGGAGGCCTGCGCGCGAATCGACGGATGAGCCGGGACGTCCCGACCAAACTTCAAGACTCTCGAGCTCGGTCGGATCGAAGTCGATCAGGCTCATTCTCGGACGACTGCTTTTCTCTCCGTCGAAGACTCCACGGAGAGCACCGCAGGTCGTATCGAAACCGTCGAATCGATGCACGTTGAAGTCGTACTCTGGATATTCGATTCGCGCGCGGGCGGAGGCCCGTGAGGATCGTCGCGCGGCTCGGCGTGCAGAGCGCGTTCGGCACCCAGCTGTTCGTAAAAAGCGCGCCGTCGCGCGCGATGGAGTCGATGCGCGGCGTCTTCAGGTGCGAACTCAGGTGGCCGCCGTAGGCGGAGATCGCGCTCTTGGCGAGGTCGTCCGCGAGCAAGAGGAGCACGTCGGGCCGGTCCGGGCGCGACGACGGCGCGAAGGGCCGTCGCGGCGCCGCCGCCGCGGGCGTCGCGGCGGCGGCGGTCCCGGCGGTCCCGCCGGGCGCGGCGGGCGCGGCGGCGGCGGCGGTCCCGCCGGTCCCACCGGGACCGCCAGGCGCGGCGGCGGCGGCGGCGGTCCCGCCGGTCCCGCCGGGACCGGCGGCGCGGAGCGCGTGGAGCCAGCGGGCGAGCTCGCGGCTCTCGCCGGCGCGGAGCCGCGCGTCGATGCCGTCGGCGAGCTGCGCGACCGTCGCGCCCGCCGCGACGGCGGCGGCGACCGCCGGCGGCGCCGCGCCGAGGCGCAGCTCGAGCGCGGGCACGTGGTCCGCGGCCTGACGC